GAATACTAGTATAAGAAATGTAATATGGCAGCATCTCAGCTTATATATATCTGCATTTTGAATTTCTCAGTTATTAGCCGACTCTTTCAATTACCACCTATTACAGCACCTACAGCTTATGAAATGTACATACAGATATATTTACTAGTATATAGACAAACATGCATCATGTCATCAGCAGTGATCTGTACCCAGTCTGTACATGTGTTTGGCTACCAGGTGTGAGATGAAGGGTTATGTTAAACATCAAGCTGTACACCACTCTTAGTCTCCATGGTGCTGGCACTAATTATACAAAGTGTGCTATATACATGCTCAAGTTAGTACCAATGGCATCTTCCTATAGACTAGTAAATTGTATATAGATATATGCATACTTGGTTGTTCTCTGTATACAGGTCCTTACAGATTACGTACACAGATACATGTATGTACACTTCGTTGTTCTCTGTACATGGGTATTTCTTGACTTATACAGATATATGTACACTTGGTAGATCTCTGTACACAGGTAATTCTTGACTATCACAGATACATGTTCACTTGGAAGATCTCTGTACACAGGTAATTCTTGACCAATACAGATATATGTACACTTGGTTAGATCTTCATACACAAGTATTTTACACTTGGTAGATATCTGTACACAGGTAAATCTTGACTAGTACAGATATATGTACTCTTGGTAGATCTCTGAACACAGGTAAATCTTGACTAGAACAGATATATGTACACTTGGTAGATATCTGTACACAGTTAAATCTTGACTAGTACATATATATGTACACTTGGTAGATCTCTGGACACAGGTAAATCTTGACTAGTACAGATATATGTACTCTTGGTAGATCTCTGAACACAGGTAAATCTTGACTAGTACAGATATATGTACACTTGGTAGATCTCTGTACACAGGTAATTCTTGACTAATACAGATATATGTACACTTGGTAGATATCTGTACACAGGTAAATCTTGACTAGTACCGATATATGTACACTTGGTAGATCTCTGAACACAGGTAAATCTTGACTAGAACAGATATATGTACACTTGGTAGATATCTGTACACAAGTAAATCTTGACTAGTACAGATATATGTACACTTGGTAGATCTCTGTACACAGGTAATTTTTGACTACCGGTAATACAGATATATGTATATACATGGTAAATCTCTGTACGCTGTATGCAGGTACTTACAGATTAATACACATACATATATGTATACCTGATTAGCTAAAGTATATGCATGTATTGTAAATATAAGTATTAAAACATGTTTCTATTCAGGAAAGGGGCAACTTCTTCAGATTTAAATATTACAATTCTTGTAAGTGATATTATCTGGTTCTGACCGTGAACAGTGAAACTTCAATTACATAAATGTATGCTTTGGACAAAATATTTGAAATTTTATGTTCTGGATTATTGAAACATACATTAATTATTCAGGATGTTATCAAACCCTGAACATGATCACCTAGAAACACCTACATACACATACTAGCCTTTGCAATAAATATTGATCACTTTCATAAATCATGATGATCATGAATGAAGTCTGCAAAAAATGCTTTTCAACAGCTGCATTGCCACATTTTCCTATTAATTAAAACTGTTCTTTTTTTCTATGTGATTAATGAGAAATTAAAAATTTATATGAATATTCTGTAATTTGTAATCAAGGCCATCAAAACAAAGACATGAACTGAAATCTGCTATATAACCTAATGGTACCCAATAGTTGGTATATGATTATTGATTAAGTCAAGGGAAAACACCCACGTTGATGGCTAGGCTCAATCCCAATGTGTTCATTTAATTCTGGCACCTGTACGTACACACATGGAGCTACAAACATTTGAGTTACATTGCCCATGTAAAACCAAGCCATATATATCCATGTTTCCCTTTTTACTATTCAAAATTGCCCAATAATCAAATTGTTTTGCAATCAGCCACTTCAACCAACTACATGAACAAAAGTCAGGCTGGATAAATTAGGTCCAATTACGTACTGAATGGAAATGTACCTGAAATTCTTCACACACAAAAACCACTGATCCCTATCACACCTTTTAATCTAATCTACATTTACTCGTGTTTAAACTGACCCGAAGCCTGACTTAATTTAATTGACATCTGATGTTTTTCCTATACCCGATTGCTTGCTGACACCTGTCCTGATATCATATTCTACTACAAGGAGTGAAGACCTGTCTTACACAAATATTTATAAATATTGACATAGAAACCAATGGTTTGGGCTTCAATAAATCCTCTATATGTATTTCTTGTGATCACAAGATATGAAATAAGAATTACATATTATGCCAAAGTTTAGCTATCCCAAAGATAGATATGTTCACCTTGCCAGACTAAACATTCTCAGTTGATCCCGGAATCTAAAGAGCAGTTATCAGTGTGAGGAATTTGAGGGAGTCTGGAAGTGACTGAGACTGCCAGATAGGGCATAAAACATATCTGAGGCACCGCACTCTTCCTGTACACTTGAAAGGTTGTACGAATCTCAGTGTGTATCCTGACTTAAGTGTGTCAAACTCCGTACAAGCCCAACTTCCTTTTCCGCTTGCTTGAGTAGTTGTTAATATTCTGTACGTTTGTTTTAGGATGCACTTCACAAGCATACATGTGCACTCATCCGTTTCACAATCCTTATGTTTTTTTCAAAATCTTAACAATAAACACAACTAGATAAATTTATCAATATTTGAACATTTACATACGAACTGTTCGTACACAGTCCTTCTTTCTAGCCAGGAAACCCTTAATTGATGATGAGAGAAACAGTGAACATATTGACCAAAATTCTGCACCCTTGGGTAGAATATCCATATCACACATAGTAGGATACCTTTATATGACTCCTCTCACCATTGTAGACCATAATGGACTCATCCAGATCGATGCATAGTAGAGTTTACTTAAGTTACACAGGGGTGAAAGGATTAACCTAAATTTTGATAAAATTAGACAAGACATCAACAATGCAAACTCTACAATAAATATAGCAAAATTTCTAGATAACGTATACACAAACTAAAGACATATTTGGAAAGAAAAAAAGGATGATATACAATACAGTAGCCATACCTAAAATTTAAAGATTTATGCAAGACATAACTAAGTGCCAGGGACACATATATGTATCTTTCATACACAGAAGTGGGAGAAATGTTTAATGGTTGAACATATGTATACATGTAACTGTTAAATGTTACGATCACCTAATTAAAACTTTGTTTTATTTGCATTTTTAACCCTTAACAAAACAGGCTTTTTATCTGTAGGCTTACTGTATAAAACAGCACTTATCATACTTGGGTTGATGGGTCTTCCTCTCCATCCCTAGGCCTACTGTCAGTGAATGTAAGCTTGTCAATAAGCTGCCAATTACGTAGATACATATCAATGTGTAATGCCAATAGCACCAGACTCTAATGTAATTGTGGCTGTATTGATTTTATACATCTTCTACATATCCACTAGGCATTCCCATAAATGGTCAAAGAAGAAGCCTATCCAAAAAAAGGCAAGAGCAAGGAAATCATAACTCATAATCACTTTACTGGAAAAACAATTCACAAGACAGCTTGAAGAGAAAACTTCTTATTGCAAGAACTTGCAGAAAAACAACTGAAAGAGCACAACTCCATGTATATATCTCTTTAGAATTGTGTGCCAACTCTGTCATCATTCCTGTTAAAATCCTATACCTTAACAAGATGTTAACTATGTTCATGAACAGTGTAATATACATCTGTGTCCCACAATATATACACTATTGTTTATATTGTCAACAAGAAATAAAACAAGAAGATTTATCATTTCAAAAACATATACAAATTGTACACTTATTAAAATTTTGAACGATCTTGAACCAAAAAGAGGTGGACATTCATAGGTAAATGATCAATGTTAAACATTCTGCAGTTTCACAGAGTCAATTAAATTATAAACTTGATTGGAAAGTACAGTAACGCAGATCTTGGCTGGCAGTGGATGGTCAGAATGTGAGATAGTGGAGTTAACACTAATATTGATCGTTAGTTAGCCAGATCTACGACTAGTAACTAGTCATAGTTCTTGCTAACTACTGATCGTGTGACACTTAAGTCTCGTGAGTTTTCCTAAACTTTTAGGATATTCTTTTATTGGCGACTGGGAATGAATCGAGCTATGGGTTGGAGAACTGAAGAGAAATGAAGCATGGAAGTTTAGAAATTTTACAAAGTTGGGCAATCCTCAAGATGCTAAAACAATAATGCCAAAAAAAAGGTAAAAAAGGTATGTAGGAGCATCATTCGAAAATAGAAAAATGACAACACTGATTTCCATGGAATGATGAATGCAAATTGGTTATAAGTATTATGGGAATACTGTGTTCATAGATATGAAGCCAAGGTATTTTGGTATGTGTATCTATACATTAACTTGCAATTGGTGGACCTATCTTGGTAGACCCAGCAGAGTATACAGTGAAACCTTGCTTACTCAAACTGACATTACTTGAATACCCCATGCTCCTTAAATTTTGCTTTATTCCGACCGTGATCTTATATGTTTTTTGTAAATCAACATCTGATTACTCAAACTGCCATTGCTCTAAAAACCTGTGTTCCTCAAACTCTTATTCATCTCCGGCAACTCAAAACCTTTGTACAAAATTGTCAAATGTATGTACAAAGAATATTGACTGATTGCAATGTTGGTTATTTTCATCAACAAACAATTTCATGTATCCTTACAATTACTTCAGTTAGCTAGGTGGCATACAACGTAGGTAGTGTGTAAGCTTGGATGCTATACATATTCTCTTAAAAATTAATTGATGTTGCATACAAAATGGACTGCAATGGAAAAAATTGTGGTTTAATTGTCATCATCAACACATCATACAAAAGACATATACATTTGTTGTTACCTACAACCTAATCTGTGCTGGCAATATTAGGCATACAATTTTTAAAGGATACATAAATCTTGTTCTTTTTATATCTGGTCCGCAAATTGATGTTAATTCCTTTCTCATCAATATCACTGATAATTGTCATATCACAAACTCCATCTTCGGGTCGGGCACCTGGAAAATGGAAATCAACATTATGTATGTTAATTATTACAAAATATAAACACATTTCTAAATGGTATTATCACTGTAACAAAACATAACTCATTTATAGTGTCATACCACATAAATATTAGGTACAACATAAAAATGCACTACCCAACTATCAAATTCCCTATCCTGAAAAAAAGCTGCAAAAACCCCTAAATCTTACATGCATACAGACTGGTGCACGACCTGATCCCAGCACAGTCTGTAATTGACCTGATGGCCTAGCACATGAGCTGACCTGATATAATTAATATGTACACGATCATGACCTGACCCTGGTATATAACCTAACCTAACAGTGCTCCAAGAAATCCCAAAATGAGGGTTTTCACCCCCAAAACACAGCTTGTAGTAACCCCAGTTTTCAACAATTGCCCTATGCAACTATGTACCTAGGGGCACGTATAAGAATCTTGAAAATGTATCAAATATACTCCAAAATCTAAATTTCAGTGGGAAGTGATAAAGATAGTGCCGTCGCTGGTCCTTAAACCCGCGACCATTGGCTCTCCAGCCTGATGCTCTACCGCTGAGCTAAAGGGAAATTCCCCACAGCTGACACTGTAAGACAACCTATAATTAATTCTTTTACACTATTCCCCCCTTTTTTCAAACACCAACCCAGGTTCTTTGACTCCCTGCCAAGGATTCTCCTACCTTGAACAGGGAGGGTCAACGGCACCAATTTGTAATAGGACGAAGAATATTAATAAAGAAAGTGCCGTCGCTGGGGCTCGAACCCGCGACCTTTGGCTCTCCAGCCTGATGCTCTACCGCTGAGCTAAAGGGAAATTCCCCACAGCTGACGCTTGTAAGACAACCTAATTAATCCACATCTTTTATACCAAATGTAACAGGAGAGGGAAAATGCACGGCAAGACCGGGGTTCAAACCCGGGACCCTCCGAACTCTAGACGGATGCTCAACCAATTGAGCTATCTGGTCGCTGACGATCGACCCAGTCCAGTTCCGCTGCATTCCTCCTTCCTCAAAGTCTTCGACCCCAAAGACACACAAGACCCTATACCACCTTCTGTGGGTATATTTCGTTGGGCGCCAAATGTAACAGGAGAGGAAAAATGCACGGCCAGACGGAGGTTCCTACCCGGGACCCTCCGAACTCTAGAAGGATGCTCTACCAATTGTGCAATCTGGTCGCTGACGATCGACCCAGTCCAGTTCCGCTACAGACCTGACCCCAGTACTGTCTGTATTTGACCTGACCTAGCTAATGGCCTGATTCGGTATAATCTGTACATGACCTGACCCTGGTACATATATATGATCTAACCCAACACTGATGCATGACCTGACCCCAGTTCAGTCTGTACTTGATCACCTGACCTACATTGTAGCAAATGACCTGACTTGGCCTAATCTGTACATGACCTGACCCATGACCTGACCTTGGGACATGACTTGGTCATATCCTATATAAAGCTAATGTACAGTCTGTACATGACCTGACCTGACCCCTGACCTGGCTCATGACCTGACCTTGGGACATGACCTGGTCCTACAGCTAATGTACAGTCTGTACATGACCTGACCTGACCCCTGACCTGACTCTTTCACATGGGCATTGTATTGTAGATGCAGTCCCTGACTAATTCTGTTCCGAGTTATGGCCCCTCATGGATCATCGACCATAAACATGTGTAATATTCTGCAGGATATATGGTATGAGCAGACACTGAGTCATGTGGTGAATGGCATAACAAACAATGCATTAATCCACCCCACAAAAGTCAATACCCTCCTAAAAAGGCTATGCTGGCCATAAAACATGAATGGTTTACAACCAAAATAGATCGTTGATGTTGGAAATGACTTGTACTCTATATTGTTTTCATTTCTATAGTTAAGTCCATGTTTTTGGCCATGGACATTACTATAGAAATGAAATTCCACAAAATAACAAGCAATACACTTTTGGTACATACTTCTTAAGGATGATAAACAGAGAATGATGTATGACATGCCACATGCTTAAGACATGAATGACTATTGTCCTCTCATCTGTCACAAAGGGACACACATCAATGACCATATAGAACATGTATGTATGCACTGTAGTGGAATACACAAATAGATTTTATTAGATACATCAGTATGTAAACATGCACAGACATTAGTTTACTATGTATTGGTACAGTACGTTTAATTTGCTCTTATATTCAATGACAAAAGTAAATGGGGGAGGATGGAAAAGACCTATTAACTATAAAAAGGTTCAAATTGACTTTCATCGTGGTTGATAAATAAAACAAAACTAAAATTGGAAGATTCCAACCCTGAAACACTTTTACCTTTTCAGGCTCTTCAAGACCTGACTTTTACTATGCATTTTGATTTTTTAAGATATTACAATATAATAAGTCAGTTATCCCTCCTGAAGACCCCTAAGGAGGTACAAACCCCATTGTTATCTTCAAACTTTGGGTTTATTATAGTATATTACTGACTTGTAAGCAAATGGGATTTTCCCAAAAGCTCAATGTGCCGAGCATTGACTAATAACCTCAAATCTCAGGTTTGACTACTAGTGGCTACGGAGTCACTTGAGAAAATGAACTTGGGTACATTCGCACATACCAAGTGACATAAGTATTAAGTACAATTTTCTGCTTAGCTTTGCTGTCACAAATATAGCTGCACTCTAAAAGACTGAAGAACAAGTTGAGAACAATGATGGGGAGAATGTCGTTGTATAGTGAACCATCTAATTGCCTCTGACTTAGTAAGATTTTATTTTCATTGAGCTGATTTATTGGTAGAGCACTGTACATGTACTGGTAATCTGTAGGCCCATATGTTTGACCCCTAGCAGAGACAGTGACTCTGTTACAAATAATTGTTTATTTGGTAAACAATTATGTTGACAGGAAAACAACACAAAGAAAATGATGTCATACTAAATGATACATAATGTCAAGATACAAGCCATAATCATCGATGATGTCAAAATAATGCATTTTGATGTCAAGATTTAATCTGTTATAACTAACACCATGGTGCAACTAAAATAAAATAATCAGTCACAAACAAGTACACTATTGACTCTGCTGTGTGGACTTTCTCAACTAATATTAGCACAGCAACAAACATCTATCAAACATCTATCATTCACTTTACTTTAATTTGCGCAATTTCAGTAATATATATACACCACTTGATGTAACGAGACCATCTGCTCTCATAAGGGCACCCCAGGGATTTTAAAAAGATTTCTAAATTTCTTATAATAACTATTTTTTATTTTTTCTGTTCCTGATACATAATTTCCTAATGTCATTGGTTTTGTTTTGTTAGACAGATTATTATATATAACTTCCACCACATAAAAAGGTGCTGACTCAGTTAAGACAAATAAAATTATACAAGAATTGAACGTTATCTGTTGATACAGTTACCAATATTGTACTATTTCATGATTATAATGATAAACTGTGTTTATTTGAAGGGGATTTCAACTCTGGAGAAACCTATAATTCACTGTTGCAGCAGGGAAAATAATCAAAATATGACATAAAATTAATGTTACTTGAGAAAAACGTCTAAATAAAGGACGTCCCACTTCTCTTTTAACAATGCTTGGCCATGGTGTCCTTATTAGATCAAGTATGGTACATACTTAATGTAGTGTGTAATCATATCCAGGGGCTGTGTTCACCAACTTGTAGTACAAACAGTAAAAAACAATTGTACAATGCAACTAAATCTTATAAAGAACTCAGACCTATCATAACAAAGCAAAACAAAAGCTTGTAACTTGAAACAAAGCCTAAGATTGGGAAGATGAAAAGACCATTACATGGCTGTCCCTAGCTGACATTATCGATGGGTAGTGGTGTGTATCCACACAGCTCACGTCAGACAGGTGCACTCCCCAGTCTAACACATGGTTACATACTGGTGTAGAGTCATTATGTAACATTACTGGAAGCACTCTTTGTAACCAGCCTATTCATTATGCATGTTGACCTATTATTGTGTGTGTACCTGGCTAATTTACAGCTGCTGTAATTCAGTGACCAGCTACCTGTAAATTACAAGTACTGTAAATCACAGGGATTGACTCACAGCCTGGCTTTGATAGCTATAGACAGATGTGTACTATCAGTGTTATGTAGGTGTAATATGTAGACCAGTACACAGAGGTATCGACAACTACACAGGTGTAAATAACAGAATGGGTGATTCACTGTGGCTGTAGGTTCAACAGGTAAAGATCCTATAGCAAAACAGAAATCAATACTTGTGTAGAAATATCACTATTATACCATGACAGTGCTGGGAGATGACATCAAGTCACAGTGGAGAGCATTGTGCTCAAATTCAGGATTTAAGTTACAAATTTAAAGTAACCCTTTAATTATTTTAGAAAAGGCAATCTATATATAGCCCTATATGCAACCAACATAATCATGTAGAATTTTTTTTCTGCTGTAGAACTATTTTATTATCCTTTTCTTGTGCTGAACTGAATCTATAGCTCTACTGACATAGTGTCATATATTTCTAACACAAAACAAAGAATAAACTTTTCGAATCTTGAAAACCTATACTGAATGCAGTATATATATGCATCTCTCCTTGTGTAATGCTAGGCACAATATGCTGTTGTATAACATCCCTGACATAACCGAAATTAATATATATACATTGTGGTCAAATTTACTATTATAAACAGTGCAAATTTGATTCTACTGTCAGGATTTTCTTTATGTTGTAAAAATTATCAGAATTTTTGGTTTGTTCAAAATATTTGTACAAATAAATTGTTGAAAAATTATTGAACAAACCAAAGACTATTTTATAACATTAACATATAAACATGTTATATAATATATATTTTTACAAAATGATAAATAAATATATAAAGGACAAAAAATGTATTTTACAAACAGGCTACGTGATTCCGCTAAATAAACAGCGAAAAGTGGAGAATGTACAAAACATGCTAAACAGCCATAAATAAAATCAGCTGATTGACGCCATAACGGCTTATGACTACTGGATTCTATGGTTGTGAAAATATAGAAAACAGAGCATATGTACCGTAGACATTGAATTTATATTATCGGATGTGTAATGTCATCGATGAAGAAACATGACACTCCGCTGTTCTCTATATACTGTCAGTGTCAGTTCATTTACACAATACAAAGCAATCGAACCTCTGAGTTGATTATAATCGGCGAACAAAAAGATGGGGATGCTGAATATGCCGACATACGTACCCCGAGAGGCGAGCTCTGGTCTTTCTAAAATCGATGACATTTTTGCCCGTTAAAGTTTTCCTTTTTGTCCAGTATTTACTCCATAACTAACTCTCCATCCGAATGAAAAACGGTGGTTAAATCACACTACTCGCTTGCCTTGTGCCCAGCGTTGCGAGTGACTCACGCAGCTCGCTTGCCGTACGGTAACTCTTTCAACTTCGCCGCCACTCCCGACCGAGCCAGCGAAGTGTGTGGACATTGTCGTAATAAACTCACATTTTCTTAATTTAAAAATATTCATATCTGTAACAAAACGCATAACATAGAAAATTATTTTAGCCATGAAAATACCCATATATTCATTTATTAAATTAGATATGATAAAATAAAAAAGAACAGTTCGATTTACGATTCGGTCCCAATTTACGATTCGGGCATGCGCACATCAAGGTTAATGAAAAAAATACACTAATGGCTGGACGGCGGCGAATAATTATTGAGCAGAGAGGTTTTAACTAAACAACATGGGTTTTCTTGGACGAGGGAGGGGGGCGAATAATACGGTTAAGCGAGAGGGAGGCATTCATGCATCATCACGGAAACCGAACAGTGGTGACTCGGGTGGATCGAAGCGAGATCAGCATGGAGGATCGGGACATGGTAGTCGAGAACGCTCATCGACATCGCACCGAGACCGTCACAGAAGTCGAGAAAGATCGCGATCACCGTTAAAAACACAGGTTACGTCCTGTCCAACATGGTCAAGCTGTTTCCACAGCGTGTTGATAAACACTACGGAAGTTGACCACTTTCTCTTTTTCGTTTGTGGGCGTTTGTAGGAAGCTATGATTTTGGACGGTTTATATACCATAGTTTGGAATATATTTTATCATCCTAAATAATGCATTCCTGAAATAAATCATAGCAAAATCGAAGGCACGCGGTTAGCTTTTTTGATTGGGTGTCTTGTTTCGCCCTAAATCCTGTTGGCCCTGGGTTGTTTCGCCCTAAAAAGTTTTATCATTTAGCCCTGGTTAGTTGTGTATGGTGTGATGGGGACCACATTTTGTGTAGCTTTAGTTAGCTTGGTTTCCCAGTAAAATTGGGAAGAGAACCGCTGCTTTTATCGTAATTGTTAATTTGGCGCAAATTAGTATGCAGGCGGCGCCACCTACTGGGTACACTGTCCATTGGGTGTTGCGAGGCTTGCGCGTGCATAAGGGGTTTTGGGAATATAAAGCCATGCACATTTACAATTCTGCTATTCCGTTTCGGACCCACAAAAAAGGTAGGGTTGCTAGAGCTCCCAGTTGATGCGGTGATATTTTGGATAAGTTAAGTTAAATTTTGGGTAGGGGTTAGTCTTAGATATATTTCTGTAGTAAGTTGAAGATTTCGTCCAAAGTAAACAAATCGGGTCATCCGACCTAGTGTTTGTAAATGACTTCTTATATATATGCTAAATAAATATTTCCGTTAGTGTTAGCAAACTTTATATCACTCTTCTAGTCTTTTATTCTATTATAAGATTAGATACAAT